CTCCAGTCACCGCGTCTGAGCCTGGCTCGCCGCAGAGGTCGGCGCGATCGTCCGCGCTGCTGCTCTCGTCCGCCTCGCTGGCGTCACCGCCCTCGCTCGACTCGGCGCCCGACTCGTCGCCCCGACCCGCGCTCGCCGCCGACGCCTCACCCTCGCTCTCGCTCATCTGGATCTGGACCCGCTTCCTGGCTCGGCTGGCTCCGACTGTGTCGCGCGTGCCGCGCGAGGAGGTGGCGGCGGCTGCAGAGCGCGCGCGCCCTGACGAACGGCGGCGGGTTCGCTGAGCGGGTTCACTCTCCGATGTGTCCCCCTCCTCGGTGCCGCTGCTGGCGGCCTCCGCGGAGGAGGAGGCGTCGTTCTCAGTCCCGCCGGATTCATCCACGCCGGCCTCAGAGCCGGAGGGGCGCCACTCCGAATCGGAGGACATCGGGTCGTGCACACGCAAGCAACGGGTGCGGGTCTCGCGGGCCGCGAGAGGGACCGCGGGGGGCGGTAAGCGGGATGGGGGCTCTAATAAGGGGATGTGTTCCCTTGGCACCTTGGAGTGCTGGGGGGGGCGACAGGGAGGATGTGGCCTTGAGTTATGTGTACGCCAACTCAGGGTGTGTGGCAGCCCGCTGGCTGTGTGTCTTGTGAGCTTGTTTGTGTCTGTGTGTCGCTCGTGCGTGTCGTCATCATCTGTCCAGCGTCCACCCATACCGCGTTGGTGTCCAGTCCGAGCCTGGCTGTTCTTCACCTTTCTACCTACCTACCTAAGGGGAAGGGAGTGGGGGGCGCCCAGTAGGGCGCCGGCACCCCAGCGTAGAGGGCCTCGTGTAGCCCTCCTTTTGGTATATATAATAAAAGCAACGTACAGCGGGGTGGGGGCACAAAATGATTTTCGAGCCACGCAGCGAAACGCGGGGTGGGGGGCCGGGCGCGCCGGGGGCGCGGCCCCCGACCGAGCTGCTGCGACGGCGTCCACACCGGCCAGAAGCCCCAAAATTTTCTTCGGCGCTGCGCGCTGTTGCAGTCGAGTGTACCGGTAAGCGAGGAGAGGGTTCCAAGCTGTCGGTGGAGACTTGTTCACAGCCTTGTTATGGAGAAGAAAATACCTCCCATGGCGCTGTGCGCTGGCCTGTGAGAGGTTGAGGTGCGAGCCCTGGAGGCCCTGGGGATGGGGGGGGACTACCCGCGGGCTTAGAAGGCCCGCGCGCAGGGGGGTTCACACCGGTATACCTTGCTCCTTTAGGTGCTTTTAATACGTTCTGATTCTTGTGCTGATACTTGCGTCCGAGACTGCTTGTGTTAGCCCGGTGGGTTTTCTTTTGCCTTCGGTGTCCTGTCTCGGTGCGAGTTGTTCCCCCCTTGTTGGACCTCTAGTTGTTCCCCTTACAGCAGTGGCGGTCCGCTCACTGCGGTTTCTCTTGCTGCCGGCTGTCCGCCGACAGGTGGAGCCTCGTGAGGCCATCGAGCCCACACAGTCGGCGACAGTCCGTCGCCGCGCGCGGACCGCGCAGGACCCGGACCGGGCACGTCCGTGGAACCGGAGGTTCTGCGGCACACAGGAAACATGCTCTCTCGCGCTTCTCGAGATTCCAAACTGTACCCCTACGCGGACCCGTGGGACGGCCAGCGGGGGCCGTTCTTCGAGCGCAATTGGCTGCCCGATATGCTGAGCGGCCTCGGTGGCGTGACCGATGACTACGCTTCGCTGACGGATCACCTCGACGGGATGGACCCACACGGCGTCCCTCCCACTGACGCCGCCCAGCTTGCGGCCAATGCCATGCACGTGAATGGCGCGAACCCCGCCGTTGGCCCTGCGTGGAAGAGCGAGCAGGCGTTCAAGAACCGCTCGTCAAAAGCGATTGCTACGCTACGCCAGCACATCGTCTCCGTACCGCTCGTGGCGGAGATTGACAAGATGGTTCGCCTCAACCGCGCTAGCCAGTGGGCGCAGGGCGCCCCCATTCCGACGGCCACCTACCGGCCAACTACCATGTGGTTGCGCTCCAGGGCCAGCAGCTGCAAGGCGCCGACCTCGCCGCTTACCAACAGTGCGGAAACTCCCTGGCACGCCACGTCTTGGCAAAGCTCAAGCTCGAGGGGATGCCCCGCCGCGTCAGCGGGCTGGACGTCGCCAACCAAAACACCGTCTGGGCAAATATCTCGCTTTCCAACAGCGTAGGGATTGCTCAGAACACGCCGACGGCCCTCAAGACGTACCTCGAGCAGGTCAACTCCGAGCGCAACACGCCGCACCCGCAGAGCGACGTACTCGTCAAGTTCCTGCAGGTCCTCCACGGCGGACCGAAGGAGATTGCCACCAAGGCGATGGATGAACTGGCGTCGCCTCGCCAGGATTGGCGCAACGCCGACGGGTCTGGCTCGCTCGCCCTCACGGTGGCAGGCATGCAAGTGTACTGGGAGGCCTTTTGGCAGCAAGGCGTCATTACGCCTAAGGCCGCCGCCGCTGGCGCGTCAAGCTACTCAACGCGCGTGGACGGCCTTTCTCTCTCGGCAGGCGACGACGGATCGGGCGCAGACGTGTGCCCCACGACGGATGCCAACGAGTACAACGCGCTCCTCGTGCAGTCGCGTGGCGGAGGCAGCGTCATTGGCGAGCCAATGTGCTGGAACTGCCTCGGCTTTGGACACGTCAAGAACAAGGAGGGCAAGTTTGTCTGCTCCTCGCCGCCCCGCTTCCGCAGCATGACTTCTGCCGTCTCTGTGCTGTCGGACAAGCAAGCCCAGTTCGGGCAGCGCGGCGGGCGCTCCTCATTTGGACGCGGCGGCGGGCGCGGAGCAGGGCGCTCCGGCCGCGGCTCGCAACGGCCACCCCCGACGGCGTACTCCTCGAGCGTCGAGCAGGACGAGGGCGAATCGGATGAGACGCCATCGGACGACAAGGGTGACTCTGCCACCACGGAGGATTGCGCCGAGACCGACTTTGTCGGATCGCTGACGCAAGACGCCGCGGAGGGAGAAAAGGAGTTTGCATAGCCCCGGGGGTGCGCGGTCGCAGGGCCATAACACGTCTCCGAGGGATAGTTCCGTGTACCGGGTTACCCCAGCAGCATCTCTGCAGTCGCACTACTCGCGGCTGCATGGATGTCCGAGCCCTTTAGCGTGGTTTGCGCGTCTGTGCTGACGAGAGTGCGGGAGATGCTGCCCTCGTGCTGAACAGAGATTGCGCCAGCGGTAGCAGTGCTGCTTGGGCACACAACAACATTGCTCGTGGCCGAGCTGGCATAAACCGCCGCACCAGCCTCTGCGGCTGCAGCGGTGCTTCGGACCGCGTCGAACACCGCGCCTGTATCGTGCATGAGCACAGCCTCGAACATACTGAGGTTGGCTATTCCGAGTTCGTTGAGCAGGCGCTCCAGCAGAATGCTGAGCTGCGTCGGTGCCATTTTGTCGACGTGTCCAAGGGAACGGACGTCGCCAAAAGTCCTTCCGAAAAGTACGACTCTCAAGCCATTAGCATTACTGTGGTCGGTTCGAATCGTCCTTCGCGGAGCGAACGCGGCGACACGTGCGCACGTCGCGCGCGTGTGCGCCTGCGACAAGACGAGAAGAGAGGAGAGTAGACGGTTGATGTTTTTGCTGCCGCGGCCGCGCCGCGAGCTCGCGTCTGTTTTGGCGCCGACGACGCGAC